GCAAGTGATCTACCTGTGAGCTACATCTCCAGCCCATTCTGCACTTTTTTAGTGGGAGGATTCTTCAACTTTTCCTGGCCATTATAATTCAATTTTCATTTTTTCTCCCTTTCCTCTTTCTCTTCCTCCTCCTCCCTCCTCCTCCTTCCCTTTTCCTTCCTCCTTTCTCCCTCCTCCCTTCTCCCCTTCCCCCTCTCCCTATTTCTCCCTCTTTTTCTTCCTCCTTCCTTTACCCCCTTCCTCTTTCCCCTCCCCTCCCTTCCTCCTCCTTCTCCCCTCCCCTCCCTTCCTCCTCCTCCTCCTCCTCCTCCTCCTCCTCCTCCTTCTTCTTCTTCTTCTTCTCTCTCTCTCTCTCTCTCTCGGAATTGAACCCAGGGGTGCTCTACCACTGAGCTATATCTCCAGAGTCCATTTTATGTTTTTACTTTGAGATAGGGTTCTGCTAAGTTATTGAGGTTGACCTTGAACTTGTGATCCTCCTGTCTCGGCCTCCCTAGTTGGTGAGTCCTCTCTCTTTTCCTTTTCTCTCTTTTTTTTTTCCTTTTTAACTGTGTTTCTTTGGAGGTTAGTGCTTCAATCTGAGTCTCATTCTTGATGCTTATTTGTTGATTCTTGATTTATTCAGATTTAAAATTAAAGAGCCTAGGTTAACTATATAAGATTTTCTCCAGCTCTAATAAGAATTCCTTTTATATGTCATCAAGTCTAGGTTCTGATTAAAGGGTCTATCCTCCAATGATTATAAAGGAAGAATGGAATTTGCAGGTAGTTTACCTTTGAGTTCTGAGACTTTCCCTTTTTCCTGAATCTCTTAAGTAAATTTGGGACATTTTCCCACCTCTTTTCAAGGCCCTCACTGCAAAAATTTTCATTTCGATTTTCATTTTTTACTTCATATATGAAGCTATTATGTACACTAGAATTGTCTTGTGGTTATCCAAGTCTGAGTGAAAGACCCACCGATTCCCTGTCCAAGAAAGACGCACGAGGCACTGGCTGCAAAAGCAAGAGGCGATTTATTGATACACAGGCGCCTGCGGGTGCCCAGCGAAACCTCAGCCGGAGCTTCGGTGAACTGGCACACCGGGCTTTGGGGTACAGATCTTTTATAGGGTACAGTGGTCAGTTTCCCTCCTAGCACAGTAACAGGTATCTCATTGGCTCTTTTGAATCCAGCATATAGGTCACTTAAAGGGTAAATTTGTTTTTCACTATAGGTTCCTGGAAAAACCATATAAAAACCATTTGTTATTCATTGTATGGTTTTTCATTGTATGATCCCGTTTGCCCAACCGTGCCGGTTCCTTTCCCAACCATCCTGTCCTTTCTTAATCGGTTACACTTAACTGATTTTCTGAAAAATACATCTGACGTCTGTGCAGGTGCGGAAGCAAGCCCTGGTGATTTATTACTGGGCCTAAAGTTATTGGGCTGGGGTCTTTCATGAGCTATTATATACTTTATCATTTTGTAATGTTAATTCTTTCTCATTACTTTTCTCTCCCCCACTCCTTTTTTTTTTTCTTACCATGAATGTATTTTTTCCCCCCAAATTTGGTGAAGAAAGGACTTTGGTGGAATAAAAGGCAATTATTTGCATTTGAAGGAAAAAAATAATAGGAGGGATTTCAGTTAGAAAGTAACACCTCAGACTCTGTTGTTCATAATATTGGTGAGAAACTCTGCAGATCTTTTTAGTAAACTTGGAACAAACCCATTTATCATTATCCTTTGTTAAAATTATCTCACATTTTATCTTTTCATGTGCTTTTAGGATAATACAGTTAAAAAGAACTATGTATTATATTTTGATTGAAAGTCCACCCAATGTTCAAATTAGTTACAAATGATTGTCAGCCTTATAACATTTAGGATTCCCTTTCTGGGACATAGGATATTGGCAGATGTGTCAGAGTTTTAATTAAATTACTTTTGATAAAGAAGCAGTTAAAATTTATCTTCAAAATAGCCACAGGTATATTTCATAGTCACCAGCATTTTTCTACTTAGTTAATTAAGCACCAATAAAACAATAAACAGTTGAATTACCAATAATGAAGATATATTTTTAAAATCTTCAATACAAATGGAGATTTAAAAACATACCAGATAGTTGAAAACACTAAAGGATTATTGTTAATGTGGTAGCTGTGTTAACAGTATTTGGTTATATTGTTTTAAAAGTGAATTTTTCTACATACACACTGAGATGTTATCTGGGATTTGCTTCAAAGTTGTGTGAGGTAGAAAGTATATACGAGTGTGAAACAAGATTGGTCATAAGTTGCTAAGTTAGAGTTGATAGTTGTTGGATTCATTATACTATTCTGTTTCCTTTTGTATATGTTTTAAATTTTCCATAATAAAAAGATAAATATAGAATGCCAAAGGAAAGAACTATAAGTAATTATGACAAGTAGAGCTAACTACATTGATAAAATCAGGACAAAAATACTTTTCAAAATTGATTCTGTGGTTCCCTGCCTGCTTAAAAGTAAACTTTGAACTCAAGCAAAGTTATTAAGTAGGCTTTCTTATATTCTTCACTTGATTTTAGCCAAAGGCTGAGAAGCAATGTTTAAAATATTGTTTATTTCCTAGTGTCTTCTTTCATCTTAGTGTAGTGTGGTTTTCCTCCTTCTTGGTTTAAGTGTACATTGTGTTGCCATTCACCTCTTACTTCTCTTTTCCTTTCTTCTCTTTTCCTTTTCTCTCCTTTCTTTTCCTTTTTCCTTTTTAGCTGTGTTTTTTTTAAATATAGAGTAGGAGACCTAGAGGTGAATCTGTACAAATAAAAGCACAGAATAATGTTTTGGGAGGGGAATCATGGATAGAAGTCAAGAAATATAGCTAACAGAGTATTAGAAAAGTATTTGAGCATTTGGAAGAATACTGATAGAAATGTGATGATTGCTGGAACATTTGGAAAAAACTCAAGAGTTCTATATGAAAAGAACTGTTGATTTTATTAAAAATTCAAAGTTGGGGAAAATAGGGCAGATAAATGATTATCTCCAGTGACCCACCTCCTACCATCCACACCCCACCTGCCTATAGTTACCACCTAGTACAGTAGTCCTTTCAAATTAGGATGGTTTGGTTACAACTCTTTTAATATAATCATTTCATCTCTGAATATTTGTGCCTTGATACCGCTTTTGGGGGACACCTCATATCCAAATGATAACACACTGTTGGTTTTATTTTAATGAAGATAAGTATTCTAAAATTAACTGCAGTGTTAATAAATTTATTTTAAAGTAACATCAAAATGAGATAAAACTAAAAATTAATTCTAATAAAATTAAACTATAATATTGATTGAGGGAGGGATCTAGCTTTATTGTCTTACATGTGCATTTGTCTCAGTATCAATTTTGGAAAAGACCATTTTTATGGGATTGTTTCTGGACTCTTGTTACTTGTATATATGTTAGTACCACACGGTTTTAATTATTATTGCTTGTTAGTTTTGAAACTAAAAAATGTGTATTTCATTCTCACTAAAGATTATTTTTGCAATTCTGAATCCTTTGTGGTTCATATGAATTTTAGAATCAGCCTGTCAATTTCTGTTAAAAAAAAAAAAAAGACAGCTGTAATTTTGAGATTTTGATAGGAATTACATTACATCTGTACATCAATTTGGATAGTACTGCCATGTAAGCAATATTAAGTATTTTAGTCCATGAACATGAGATGTTTTTCCATTCATTGAGGTCAACATTCAATCTTTATAAAATTTTTTCATAAAATTTTAGTATGCAAATTTTATGGGGTTTTTTTTGGGGGGGTTACATTATTGTTCAGCTTTTTTTTTTTGAGGCTACTGTAAAAGCAGTGTTTTGTTTTTTGTTTTTGGATTATTTGTTACTAATGTATAAAAATACATTTGATTTTTGTATATTGATTCTCGTATCCAAAACTTCAGTGAATTAATTTATTTATTCTAATAAATATTTTGTGTATTAGGATTTTCCATATGGAAGATCATATTTTCAAATAGAGATTGTTTGACTTACTCCTTTTTCATCTGGTTGCCATTTATTTATTTGTTTTGCTTATCTGCCCTGGCTAGAAACTCTAATACAAAACTGAAAAGAAATGCTAAAAAAAAAAAATGGGTAACTGGTTTCTTATTCCTCATCTTCAAGAGCAACCATCTAGTCTTCAAAGTTTGCTTCAGGTTGTTGTGGATGTCCTTTAGGAGATTTGAGAAATTTTTGTTTTACCCCTAGTTTGGTTATTAAAAAAAAATTTTTTTTTTCTCCTGAATCATGAGAGGGCTTTGGTTTTGTCAAATGCTTTCTTTTTTGTCTATTGAGATGACATTTTTTTTGTCCTCAGTTTCTTGGTATATTATATTGATTGACCATTTTGTGTTCATATATTGGACCATTTTGTATTCCTGAGATAAATTGAACATGGCATTTGTGTACAGTCCTTTTTACATGTTGCTGGATTCACTTTGCTAGCATTTTATTAAAGGTTTTTGCATCTGTATTCATAAGGGATATTGACTATGATTTTATTGTGATGTCTTTATCAGGGAAACTGGTTTCACAGAATGAGTTGTAAAGTGATCCCACTTCTTGTATATATTTAGAAGAATTTGTGAGGAATTAGTTTTAACTCTTTATAAATGTTTGGTGGAATTTGTCAGTGATGCCTCATTCTGGGCCTGTTGGGAGTTTTTTGATTACTGACTCACTCTTCTTATTTATTTATTATTGACTCAATCTTCTTATTTATAATATAAAGCAAATGCAAATTCTAACATGTATAAGGTGTAGTCTGATACAGCCCAAATTGCATATAAATTTTTATCCTGTTACGAATGCACAAGAAGTCAACTTGAAACTCATACTCTTTAACTATTTCGTTTTTAAAATGTGATTTTTCAGAGTGTTATTAATGTCTTTATTTGCATTATTTTATAATCGTTGGCTTAGAATTTAAGTGGTTTTGTTTTGTTTTGTTTTATGTTGCTTTTATCTCAGCAGCAATGCAGCAAGTCTTGGAAAACCTTACGGAGCTGCCCTCATCTACAGGAGCAGAAGAAATAGACCTAATTTTCCTCAAGGGGATTATGGAGAATCCTATTGTAAAATCACTTGCTAAGGTATATTGGTTTATGCATAAGATTATTGGATTATGTTGGAAATCGTTTTTATAAAAGTCTTTTGAGATACTACTATTTTAGAACTTGGTTGATATGCTTTAGGCATAGTTAGCCAGTAGTAAGTAACCCTTATCACATAATGAAATCCTAATGTGGGTGAAAATCAGGCCACTTTTGCCCTTTCTGTTCTTCTTTAAATACAGAATGAAATAACACTAGTTTTTGGCCTAACGCATTTAAGGCTTAGAGAGATCACAGGAGCACAGTCTTAAAAAGATTTTGGTTCTACCTCTAGTTTTAATAAATTAATATTTTAATTGATTATTTTCTTTTACATTATCCACATGTACCTTTTTTCTCATTTTCTTAACTTCCTTTATGTAGTACATTTAAAATTTTTCTTTTTTTGCATAAATTTGACATTTTAAGTCTGTTTCTGTAGTCAACTCTGGAGCAGCCTTCTTACTTCATTCATAAATAGTTTACAACCATTTTTAGTGTGGGGGGGTCCACTTTTATTTCATTTATCCTACTTCCCCATATGATTATTAAGTATTTCTGAAGTATAATCCCTTCTACTTACCTCTGCTCTCCCATTCTTTACAGTTGCTCAAAATGGTTCTGGCTTCCAACAACGTATATGACATGCCTTCTCTGACCTCTCCTTCATATAGTCACTTCATTCTTTTTTCTGTTGTATCCCTAGAATGTTGATTATATCCTCTCCTATGATCTTTTGAAGGCCAGTTTCTTGTTCAAGACTTCTAGAAAATCATACCTTTTACGAAGTATTCCATTAATATGAATTAGTAAATGATACAGATTTTTCATTTTGTTCTTGCAGTTACTTGTGCTAAGGTCATGTTATAAAGATACCTATGTAGAAATGAATCCACTTGCAGATTGCAACAGGAATTTTTATTTTTATTTTTATTATCTTTTATTGCAGTTTTCCCAAGTTTATTACTTATTCCTATATTTCAGTAATAATAGACAGGATATTATTTACCTTTATGTTCAGACTTCTTGTCATTAATCACTTCACCTTATTGAGATAAAGTAATAACTTCCAGGGCTTGTTAAAATAAGCAGGAGTGTTTAAGTCAATATTAAATAGGTTACCATACATTTATATTGGTACTTTAAAAATAGTTTTTACCCTTTCCTTGATGTCAAACTGTTATTATTTTTTATTTCCATGAATCAGTTATCCCCCTATCCCCAAGTTTATTTAATTAAATGGCTTTTGATCTATAGATTTATAAACTATAATAATATTGTGTAAGTCACTTTACAGCATAATTATAGCTTATACAGGTCTTTAAAATATTTTAAAATATTTTTTTTAAATGTTTTGTCTTTGCAATAGCATTATGAACTTAAAATATACTATTTTATATTTGTAAATTGAAAACTAAGACTCAAAGTAGGCAAACAATTTGATTAAGGTCACTTTATTAGTAAATGACAGAGGTAAGGCTTAGAGCAGTTGTTCTGGCTTTAAATTCTGTATTGTATCTACTGAAATACAGGTGTTGGGGTGTGTGTGTGTGTGTGTGTGTGTGTGTGCATTTCTTAACAACCTTTATGTATAATTTTTTTATTAATTTTGCCATTGATGATGACCTTCCAGAAGGTCATCTATTCATTATTATTAGCAGTTGAAATGACTGGATAACTTTTGAGCAGGTAAATTGCAACTGTACTCTTGTTAATGAAAAATGAAATAAAAAAAGAATCATCATATAATATTCAATATTCAAGCAGATTTTCCGTAAATAAAAGCAATGCTAGCTCTGTATTCCTAAAATGTATATAAAGAAATTGCAGGAGTAAGAGAAGACTTCTACTTCCAAGAAAGGGATACTGAATCACAGGCCAGTGCTTTCAATACAAGTAGAAAACAAAGAGGCGTGCATTGCTAGATATGCTGAAAGGTGAGAAAATATGACCAATAATCAGGAGAAAACAAAAGAAGCAGCACCATAGATAGATTGGACTTTGTAAATAAGCATTTTAAAATTACTAATATATCTTATATAATAAAGTTACTAATATATTAAGTTACTAATATATTTTTAATAGAAGAGAAAAACATGGAGACATTTAAAATATTATTAGAAAATCTGAAGTGAAATTAATTATAGACATTTTAGAACTCATTATTTAGGACACAGTATTTGAAATTAGCTCGTTTGATGTGATTAATAGAAGACTAAACATAGCAGAAGAGGGAATTAGTGAATTTGAAGATAAGTCAATAGAAAAATCCAAACAAAAGTGCAGACAAAAGAATGGAAAAACCAGGAAAAAAAAGAATATGTGAAGTATAATCAAAAGATCTGACATACATGTAATTAATATCCCAGAAAGGGAGGGGAGGGGGATGAAGAAATATTTGAAAGTACAATGGTCAAGAATTTTCAAAACAATAGCATTAACTGTGACAGAGTCAGGAAGCCAAGTAAACTTTTGAACAGGAGAAATATAAACACATAGCTAGGAACATCATAAACTCCTAAAGCTCAAAGATAAAATGAAAATTTACAAACAACCAGAAGAAAAAAGACACATTACCTTTAAGAGAAAATAAGAATAATGGGTAATACAGAGTATGTTGGCACATGTCTTTAATCCCAGCAGCTTGGGAGGCTGAGACAGGAGGATTGCATGTTCAAGCCCAGCCTCAGCAATTTAGCAAGGCCCTAAGCAACTTAGTGAAACCTTATCTCAATATTAGAAAAATAAAAAGGACTGGGGATGTCGCTCAATGTTAAAGCTACGGGATTTAATCCCTAGTATACCCTGTCCAAAAAAGAATAATGGGAGCAATGAAACAGAAACAATGAAATTCATAATATAGTAGATTGAAATTTTTAAAGTCCACCCCCCAAAAAATTACACTGCCACTTTTGCATTCCTTATCTAGCAAAAGCAAACCCAAAATGTGAAATCCAAAAAGAGTTTTTTTCCAGACAGACAAAATCTAAAAAAAAAAAAAAAAAAAAAAAAAAACCTTTTAAGAAGCACAAGAAGGCTAGAGTTGTTGGCTCAGCGGTAGACCACTCACCCAATACATGTGAGGCCCTGGGTTGGATCCTCAGCACCACATATAAATAAATAAAATAAAGGTATTGTGCCCACCTACAACTAAAAAAAATATTTAAAAAACACAAGAGAAAGTCTGGCAGAAAGGATGACAAAGGAAAGGGAATATTAATGGATAACTACAAAATAGTTTTGATTTTAAGATGAAGTAATAATGTCTTATGACATTTTATAAAACACACACACACACACACACACACACACACACACACACACGGAGATGGTAGTCCAAAAGGAGGAAGAGACTTAATTATCAAATAATTGTTAAAAGGACTGGGGATGTCGCTCAATGTTAAAGCTACGGGATTTATTCAAGAAGAGATAAAAGTACTGGCTTAAGTAGACTGTATATATGTCAGGGATGCATATCAATACTTTAGGTTAAAAACCAAAAGTTACAAGAGTTAATTTATTTCACCCAAGTCATAAAGGAGAAAATATAGTTTGAAAATATTCTCACTCACTCCTGAAAGAACTAGAAAAGTTACCCAAATAAAGAGGAGAAACCGTCTTCAGATATTGAGCAACAGATAGCACAGGATTGTGATCCCTAGAGAAAGGAAACAATTGAGGTGGACATTTTGAAAACATCTGGGGTAATTTTTAGACAAACACAGCCCAGTAGTTTTGACAGTACTTGGAATTCTGCAGGGTCTAGGCTAACTGGAATTTATGGAGCAGAATATCAGAGAAGAGGAAACTGAACACAGAATGAGCTTTGGAATTCTACACAGGGATGTCCTATATCTTTGGCTGAGTGACCTGAACATGTTTGCAGTGTAAACCTCCTCAGTCTCAGGAAAGATCTACTGGAAATTAGTATGCCAAACAATTTCTGGAGCTCACCAAGGACAGATAATCATTAGAATTCCTGCTATCCTGAATATCTTCACAATACACAAGACACTGGACAGAATTCATATCCAGCATATTATAGAGAGTGGTCTTGGAAACTGATTTTATATACATATATATATATAAAATTTTGCAGCAGAAATAAACTGAGAATCTATAACAAAGTCATTTGGAAAACCAAAAAATCCCCAGACAGTTGGAAATTAAATAGCATTATTCTTCTAAAAAACCATTAGTCTTGCCTAGGGATGTATTTCAGTGGTAGAGTGTTTGCCTAAAATGTCTGATGCCTGGGTTTTCAATCCCCAGCACCTCAAAAAAAAAAAAAAAAAAAGACATAGTAACTAAATAACTGTGAGTCATAGAAGAAATCACAAAACCTATTTTTAATTGAATGAAAATTTTAAAAAGACATGTCAAATCTTATGAAGGTACAATCAAACAATACTTAGAGGAAAACACCTATATTGAAAAGAACAATATTCCAAATCAGTGATCTAAATGTCAGCCTTAATAAAAATATAAAAAGAACAAATGTAATCCAAAATATTCACAAAGAAGTAAATGATAAAGATAAATGTGGGCCTAAAAAGACAAACTAGAGAAAAAAAAATCAGTGTAACTTCGATATATCAATAAAATTGATAAAACTCTATTTAGACACAAATTTCCAGTATCAGGAATGAAAAAGAGAACATCACTACAACTCCAACAGACATTGTAGGGATAATAAGAAAAATAATGAGCAACCTTTTGACAGCAAATACAACTTAGATGAAATTGATTAATTCCTTGAAAGACACAAAAGTCCCCCATGAGAATAGATAACCTCAATAGCCCTATATATATATTTTTAATTAAATATTTGAAGTTTCTAATCTTCCTTGAAAAGAAGCTCCAATTCTAGATATCTTCATCAATAAATTGTATCAAACAATTAAGGAAGAATTATATTAATTTTGTATGTTTTTTTCCAGAAAAAAAGGAAGGAAATGAAACACTTCCTGTCTTGTCTTATGAAGCTAGTATTATGTGAT